ACAATACAAGAGGTGTATTTCTGACGAAGATATATTCGAAACCGGTCAAATACACCTCTTGTATTGTTAAAGATATTCATTCTCATTCATACCTTTTCTACATTTGTCAACACGAATACGGTTCAAGAAGAGATAACATTATCATTATTAATATTATCATTGTTATCATTACTGTCATCACCATTACTATCATTATCATCGCCACTATAATTGTTATCATTACTGTCATCACCATTACTATAATTATCACCACTATAATTATCATTACTGTCATCACCATTACTATCATTATCATCACCACTATAATATAACAGCAACAATAGTTATAACTTAGTACCATGCGAAGAAATTATCAACCCTATGGTAGTTATAGTGACGATGTGATGGTGTTGATGGTGATGACGATAACTTTATGGTATTCAGTCATGGTGATAGTGACAGCGATTCGAAGGTGACATGAAATCTGGTGATGGTAGTGATGATGATGAAAGAGATGATAGTGATATATGTAGTGAGTGACTCGTATATACCGATAGTGGTGATGCTAATTTAATGGTGATAGTTGTGATGCGTGTTTGGTGTTCCTGTGGTTGTGATGGGAATAATAGTGATGATAATGATAGCGATGATGAAGCACTGAGGGTTAGGGTGATGAAAACAATGTCAGGTAGAGTATTGGCAACAAGTAATATTGATATAATTATCGTTTTACTCTTTTTCACTTACAAAGATGATTACGAATAAGAATAAAAATGATAAAGAATAATCATATATATATATATATATATATATATATATATATATATATATATATATATATATATATATATATATATATATATATATAAGGAACTCAACCTCCATCACACACACACACACACACACACACACACACACACACACACACACACACACACACACACACACACACACACACACACACACACACACACACACACACACACACACACACACACACACACACACACACACACACACACACACACACACACACATACATATATATATTATATATATATATATATATATATATATATATATATATATATATTACATATATATATATAATATATATATATATATATATATATATATATATAATAATAATATATATATATATATATATAATATAATATATATACACCTAAATCCATCTAGCTATCAAACACACACATAGAGAGAGAGAGAGAGAGAGAGAGAGAGAGAGAGAGAGAGAGAGAGAGAGAGAGAGAGAGAGAGAGAGAGAGAGAGAGAGAGAGAGAGAGAGAGAGAGAGATCTAAAAAAAAAAAACTTAGCATCAATATCTATATACAGTAAAACTGATGTCAATTTGCAATAAATTCCACTTTATGAGTTTCTCAATAATATAAAGTTAAAAATACACACATTCTAAAAATATCACTTCTGACCTAAGTATGAAACGTATCAGTAACAATTATAATAAAAGTAAAAGAAAAAATACCAAATTAGTAATATTTATCCTAGATATATTAAAAATCCATAATATAACAACATTAATGAAAACATTAGAAACATGACAGAACAAAGAACAATATTAATAATGTTATCATTACAATTATTACGATATTTTTTACTAATATCATAATAAAAAAAAAAATCCTAACCTTTATTGAAAAATGAGCAGATTCGAAATCCTCACGATTTTAACTTCACCCATGGAGTTTTTTTCAGTCACATTAACACACATATTTTATTCCCCCTATTGTTTATAATTCGTAAAACACCAATATCACACCTTAGCGAAAAAAAAAATATATAATCATTTCCGTTGCCATTACAGTTACTTCGACNAAAAGTCGAGAAAAGTGATGGTCCATTGATCATTGGCGAGTGGGAAATCTACTACCATGACTGTGAAGTACAGATAAATATAATCATCCAGAGATATAACTTCTGTAAATCTGAAATTTTGATTGATATAATGCTAAGTTTTTGAATTCTTTATCATTAAACATTTCTACTCCTATCGGTTTTTTATGATCAATGGTTTTATTTCGTTTGGTGTTCAGTTTTCTATCCTTCGGACTTGGTTTTTCGGTATTATGCACTATTATCTATATAGTCAGTGAAATATCAATCAGAATCAACAGAATTGAACCGGCTAGAGACACATATAGGAACTGATACGGAAGGCAATTGGCAAGAATATGTAGATATGCATAAGGTGTGCGTGCGAATTTCAACTAAGTCTAACTCACTTTTCTGAGAGTTTTGCCTATTCTCGCGATATTGTCATAGATTCTCACACGGAGTGACCTTTTTTAGATCCCCCAAAATCTGCGCGTTGGCACTGTATGAATACGTATATCGGATTTTATTAGTCGGCACTTTTGTCACATGATATCAAACCCCAATTTGACATAGATGAGGACTGGCGTGGAGATACCGATATCTTACGGAACACAACCAATCCAAGGTCGGATTAGTTGACTGAGATAAATACATAAGGCGAGGTGCACGAGATAATCATATTAACAATAAAAGGAGTTAAAATGCCCCACCTTGACTGTCATCGCTGTCTTCTTTGTAAATACGCACGTGAACGACGAGAGCAGGAGAGGATCAGGAGGAGAGCAGCGGGGGAGACCGCGAGGAGGAGGTAATGTTCAGCTTCTATTTAGCACATATCAGTACAAATCTGAAAAACCAGCGTCAAATGCGGGAACGGGGAACCGTGCCCATCTTCTGGGCACGATTACGGGGGGTCAACGAACTACGCAAGTTGCCTGGAACGATCGATAAGTACAATCCATTGCGCTTCATACGACCGACCCAATTAATTGATCCTGGCGTTACGGATCTGCTGCACCACCTCGTAACGTGAAGCAAGTCTGAGGCGAGGCAGTGAGACCGAGAGCCCTCGACTGGTATAATGATAAGGTCTACTTCACGCCCTGACACTATGAATTGGTCAACATTGGATTAGATTCCATCGCACAGCCGAGACAGCAATAATTTTTGAGAAATACTCATCGATTCACCCTGTTGGGACAGCCAGTACCTATTACATTATCCCGGTTGAAACTGGGAGACCGGGAGCAAGTGACGCGAGTGCATTCGGTGACGTTCGATGAGGAGGGCGGCTCCACCTCCATCAGGGGCGAGCGCATCAAGGTGAACTACTACCAGTGGGCGCCAATCATCCTGCTGGTGGAGGCCGGCCTCTTCTACATTCCCTTCGCCATCTGGAACTCGACGGCAAAAAATTCTGGCATCAAGGTGGGACGTTTACTAAAGAAGGTGTCGGTCATCTCTCAGTACACGCCCGGCCACCCAGACCGCGACGCACTTATCGCCGAGTTCCTGGACCAGTTTAATACGCTGATGGGCGTTTCAAAGTGCTGTCCAGGAACCGTCTGTAAGTTTGATTGCGGTCTGGCTTGCGGCGGGAACCCTTCCTCTTCTTTATTCATTCTGTACATGATTGTGAAAATCATGTACGTGTTCAACATCTTGATGCAATATTTTTTGCTCACGGTGTTCCTGG